CAACATGTACTGTGATGGGTCTTCATCAAAACAAATATAAACATTTAGCAATAGATTTGACGTTGCAATATAATTATGGTTGTTAGTTTGTCAAATTAGGTGTCTGTACCTGCAGCGAGCAGTGGAGGTGAGGATCCTCCAGGTGTCCTGCGTCAGTCAGAAATGGAGCATACAACAATTGGACAAACTCCAAGGTACACATGTATAGAGATAAACTGTATTCTACAGCTATAGTCAAGGTGTTCAGGATGGTTGGCTGGCCTGTCCTTCCTTCCACCTTTTTGCGAGAAATTATTCAACTTGTCCAGACTCTTCTGTGGCGACATAATGTAAACAGATATCGGGGGCCGATTTTCCACAATTTCCCAGAATAACTTGTTGCACTGCACTTTCCAGTTATAGTCAGTGGATTCGGGGTAGTTGGCTAGCATCTCACCTCTCCTATGTTCTCGCTAAAAGTACGAGAGTTTTAGGCCCGATTTCAAATTTTCATTTTTTTGCACTGCATTCTCCAGCTATAGTTAGGGTATTCAAGATGGGTTTTTGCCCTGTCCTTTCCCTCACATGTTTGCTAAAAATACGAAACTTTTGTATATACCTTTTCACGAAGTACTGAGCCTTGCTCTCTTTGCAACATCGCTTGAGTCCTACATATCTACACATCCACTGACCTTGTCTCTCTCTCTCTCTACCCAGTCTTGTCCATTTACGCTATCCTATCTCTTGCCAGGCGTAGTGAGTCTGTTTCCAAAGGAGTCTGGGATCATTCCCCTCAAGGCCTCCTGCCACACCCCCTCTTCAAGAAAGGAGGAGGAGTACAAGGGGAGCTCCTCCAGCAAGAATGATGGCTCGAGACGGCTGTGTTTGTCTGACGTTCCTCTCGGACCAGCAGCGGTCAGTGTATGCCTGGCTTCACTCTAGCAGCCTCGCGTGAATGAAGAAATGTGAAATGGAATGTGTCAGTACATAATCGCTAAATTTGTATTACTAAAGATAGAACTAAACAAAATGGACATGTGTTTCCATGGTTACTAAATTTTGTAGTGCCACGTCCCCTTTTTTGTCATGTGACCTGCTATATTACTGTCGTAAGACGTGCATTCTGTATATACATGTGTTGTGTCCAGATTCCAAGTCAGGAGTTCCCGGTTCTGGACCTGGTGTCGGCCAGTGGGGACTACCGTGACCTGGTGGGGACGAGAGGGGAGGAGGTGGGAGAGTGGAGAGGCAGGGAGGAGGAGAGGGAAGATTCTCAGCGGCGCAACGACATCATCCTAATTGTCTTTTGGCAGGTCTGAGTCTAGTGTGTATGTAAATAAAAGTGAAAAAAACTCCAGTTTTGACTTGGTGGTTGCTCAGGATTCCTCCGTGTATGTGTGTGGGGGGGGGTTCACATGTTGAGTTTCAACCTGGAGCTGGGTTTAACTCAAGGTCTTCTCTCTCTTCCTCCCTCTCTCCTTCTGTCTTCCCGACTTCTTGCTGAAGGCACTCGTGTCTCAAGGTTCAGATGTACTCTACTCATGTGGGCATCACATGGTCCCTGTTTGTCTACCACAATCTATGGCTCTCCTTAGTGAGGTACATACATAACTCCTTCGTACTACGCTTGTTGTCACTTCCTAACATACAGTTCTCCATATTCCACGTGATTTTAGACCCGCTGAATCAATTTGTGGTATACCTGAATAATAAGCCCTCCTCACTTCCTTCCTTCCTTCAGCCGTCACCGCACTCTGTGTCTCCCTCCCACTCTCCCTACGACCTTGTCAAGCACTACGTGGACCATCCAGCCTCCCTCGTCCACCGTTTCTCCACTGGCGGGGCCTCCTGTCAGGCTCCTGTCATCATCACTCTACAGAACTGCTCACACTGCTCAGTGCAGGTCAGACACAAATAGCACTTGTCTTTTCACACACACGGTAAATGCTACGAAGTTGTGGCAACTATTTATTTGCGGTCATTACATGACTACAGAACTGCTCTGTGCATGTCAGCCCAACCGCAAAAGGCACATGCAGGTCTTCTTTACTTTTGCTTATGGCACACATCCTCACAATAGCATGACGATTGTACAGTATATATATACATTAACCTTGGCCAGTGCACATCTGCAGCAGTTCCTGTAGTTTGTTGGTGTATGCATTCTCCACACACTTTCTGTCTTCACCCCACAATGCACTTCCATCCAGGCTTCCATAGAACTGTATCATCACCACAAGGAAGTCCAACAGGATCAAAAAACAGGGTAAGTTCACCATTTCCACTCTCGGAATTCTTCCATTCCTCCGTCCCATTCCAGTTCCAAACACCCAGTACCCGATTCCGGCGTGGTATGGACCGGGGCCACGTGCCAGAGACATATCACTCTCCCGGCCAACTCCAAGCAAACGCTCAGCGTTTTCGCAAACTTTACCAGACCCGGTGTGTACAACTTGCAGACGGTCAAGGTGTGGGCACGCCAGGAAGGCACCACAGACTACCACTTACAGCGCTGGCAGAGAACTAGCGTTATAGCAGTGGTAGAAGAAGGTCTAGGGTTATAGTAATTAATCATCATTGCAGTGAAATGGAGAGAAAATTGCAGTTCTTCATTTTTGAGTTTTGTAATACCACAAAGTGTGATGCAGAGAAAAACGCCGCGTCTCTCTAGTTTTTGGTGGCCCCCGATATATATACACGGAAATGGCATGACAAGAGGCACTGTATGTAGCTGCCATTGTTATTATGCAATGAGGATATGGCTATATAATTGCGCTTGCCTTACGTTTACGCACTGATAAGATCACGGACACTCTAACAATTATGCATAATAACCTATTACTGCAGTGGTGTTGTATAATTAAAAGAATGCCTTTTACTCAGAAGATGTATTCTCTTATGAGAAGTGCACCAACATGACATGGGACAAAATAATAATAAGCATAGGTTGAAAAGACATGTCCGGCCATTACATCGCGATGATGTCGTTGGCTACGATGTGGCCCAGGCTGCCAGTTCTCGCAGGTCGTCGTCTTCATCCGCCACCTTCTTCCGTGACGCTGGGACATGTGTGGCTGGAGGGGAAGAGATAGGAGGAGGTATTACAGTGGAACCTCCGAGATAGGGACGACCTCTCTACAAAGGACACTTGTTTCAACCCCATGCTAATACTTTAGTGTCTTATTTGACCTCCGAGATAGGGACCACCTCTCTATATACAAGAGACAAAATCGCTGCCCCCATAGTGTCCCTTGTTTGGAGGTTCCACTGTATAATACGGAGGAGGCACAATGATAGATGACTCACGGACGTCGGGCAGCTGTTCTGACGGGTCCTCCAGAGGAGCAGAGGGTGTCTCCACGTCCAGGAGCTGTCCCTCCAGCTCCTCTTGCTCCAGCTCCTCCAACTCTGCCAGCAGCTCATCCTGCCAGGCAGTGAGGGGTGTACAATGTTTTATAACTGACACTCCAAGTTAACGAAGCCTTTTTCTGCCCCGCCCTCGCCCAATACTACCTCTGGATAAGGGACACCTATGATTAAGTATACTTTCAACGTCCCAAGAAGTGCAGCCGGATTTCTTCATGGGTCAATGCTGTTTGCCATCCGCAAAGTTTTACTAATCACAAATCACTGTGCATGTAATGCTTTTGCGCCACACCAAAAAGCCAATGTTATATACATACCTCGTCAAGGTCTTGGTTGAAGCCAATGGGTGCAGAGAGGGCATCGCCAATTTCCTGGGCTATCTCGTTCTGCTCTGAAATGTCATCCATCATATCGTGGACATCATCCACATCTCTGTTTATGAGATACACAATTAGTACCACCGCAGGTTACTTCACACTCAGTATAAACCAAACCCTACCACCAGAGATACGTAGTAAATTGCCTTTTACCATTTACTTGATGAGAGGAAAGAAACTCTGCCATAAGGCTAAAGGAACACTACATCGGCAAAACAATTGTGCGGGGGAGGACAGAGAGGGAGGCTATATAGGGATGAGGCCAAACTATTATTGTACGCTACTCACAAGTGCTGATGGGCGGCCTTGAGGGCCTTGGCGGCGTAGCTCATGTTCTTGAGGACCTCCGTGTTGGTCTGAGCGTTCTCCAGAGCCTCTCTCTGGAACTCTATCGTGGAGAGGGTCCCGTCGATCTGGGCCAGCTGCTTCTCCAGTCTCTTCTTCCTCTTCAGTGCATTCAGAGCCGCTGCATGGTGGCAGACATGGGGAAATGACAACATCTCCCATCGTTTCATTCAATCATGATGGGGAGATGAGTGCATAAGCGTCCAAGGTCTCCCCCCATACACAACTACTATAGTACTGTGTATACCTTGTTAGGTGATACACAAAAATCTCAAGAAGCCCATAAAACTGTCTCTATACAAAGAACGTTGTGGTATTGAGAAGGATTTATTTTGCTGCTGTATTACGAACTACTCCAGTGGATAACATCCAACGCCTGGGGTTACCTCGTTTGTTCTTCATCCCGTTCTTCTTGACGGTCTGCATCTCCTTGTCGATCTTCTTCTCCAAGAACTCTGTCTTCTTGCTCAACATCTCCTCCGTCTCCCTCAGTTTCTGGATCGCCTGTTGCGGGGAGGGCGGCTCTCCCTTCTTCCCCGTCCCGAAGATCTTTGCCAGCGCCGCAGCCATCCACAAACGCTCAAGAACGAGAATAAAACCAAGTAGTCCGTTTGAGGCGTCGCCCACACACACCTTCCAATCTTTTTGTGTCAAGTGACAGCCGCGTGACTCGCGTATTGCGTCATTTATCCGTCCTGCTAAGTTTAGAAACTGCCCCCCCGTATTGGCGAGGGAGGTTTTGCCACCCTAGCGAGCAAGGACAATGAGCGAAGATCGGGTTAGCAGCGGGCCTTCAACGGATATGTCGGCGTTCAGAGAGCTCTTCGCCAAAGCACGAAACATAGTGGCTCTCTCTGGCGCCGGAATCAGCGCTGAAAGCGGCGTCCCGACCTTCAGGTTTGTCCAAATCATGCTACACAGAATCCGAATAGCTATTTATTATGTTTGTTTGCGTAGAGGAGCTGGAGGCTACTGGCGAACGTACCAGGCGACGCAGCTGGCCACGCCCGAGTCGTTTGCCGCCAATCCGTCGCTGGTGTGGGAATTCTACCACTATCGCAGGGAGCTGATGGGCAGCAAACACCCCAACGCGGCTCACAAAGTGGGCACTTTCTCTTTATCTACACACCGCTTTTTAGCTTGTAAAAATTGTCAACAGAAAATAGTTTGATTTGCACGCCTCCACTCCTTTCATGTGGCGGGTAATAATCATGTTGATAGAGAAAATCACAATCACATTGCAGGCTCTTGCTGAGTTTGAGGCAAGACTGAAGCCCCAGGGGAGAAAAGTGACCGTTGTAACTCAAAATATCGACGGTCTTCACCACAAGGCTGGCTCTCAAGACATTATTGAACTTCACGGTATATATATCAGCATGAAAAAAGCGAAACAGAAAAAAAAAATGGATGTGTTGTGTTTTTCTCCAAAGGTTCATTGTTTCACACTCGCTGCACAAGTTGCAGTCAAGTATTGGAGAATAGGGACAGTCCCATTTGCCCCGCACTGAAAGACAGAGGGTAAGGACCTAGCCTTATGTTGTGCTACCACAGAGTGCTGTGATAAACACCATAATTATTTGTATTTTCCTGCTGGCAGAGCTCCTGATCCAGATGCAGAAGACGCTAGAATCCCAGTCTCTGAGCTTCCTCGGTTAGCAGCACACTAATCTTTTAACCTAACTTCCCTTCAACTTCAGACAAAGAACACTAAAGGCCCCAATGGAAAATACCTTTATATTATAGAGGACACACTTTGAAGTCCCAAACCATCACTTTTCTATTATTTACCTATATGCCTGGTTCAAATGTGTCCATTATTCGGAGATTTCACTCTGTATGTATCATAGTTGTTCTGAGTGTGGTGGACTGCTGAGACCTCATGTGGTGTGGTTTGGAGAGGCTCTTGATTCTGTGGTCATGGACAGAGCTCAGAGTGTCCTGAGATCATGTGACCTCTGTCTCCTGGTACGTATCAAACCTTGCGAGTCAGTTTTCGTTCTAGGATATGGAGTATTATTATTATAGCTAGTGCAGTTGTGTAGTGTTACTTACTCACTGTGACTTTACATACGAATGTATGGTGCATTATACAATGATCAAAAACATTGCCCTGTGAATTTAGCTCTCTCTGTGTGTCCACATCTGTGGGTGTAGGTGGGTACATCGTCAGTGGTGTACCCGGCTGCTGGGTTTGCTCCCATGCTGGCCACGAGGGGTGTTCCAGTTGCAGAGTTCAACTTGGAGGAGACCCCTGTCACCGGAGCCCTTACGTGAGTCACTAGCAAACACTCATTTTTAAAAACTCTTGTGATGTTGTATGGCATACTGGATATAATTCACACACAGGTTTCAGTTCAAAGGAAAGTGTGGAGAAACTCTGCCTCCAGCCATAGCCCTTCACCCGTCAGAGCAAACAGCCTAGCTATAGTCATACAGATGTAGCATCTGTATATACCCATACCGTACTGAATGGCATCTGACTTTATAGCTCATTGCGTCATTTATAATGTACGCACGTGGGAATTGGTCAGAATCAGTCAAATCATGAAAAAGGTGGAGTATTATAGGTAGTCACACACAAGCTGGTATATAGCTACACACAAATAATGAGTATGCAGTTTTGAGAGTGCATGAGTATAGTCACTGTATAAGGCATCGCTTTCTAGGTTGTGCAGGTGGAGGTGTTGTCTGGCTGTGTCCTTGCTGCGGGGCGGAAGATGTTGCAATCTTCAAGGCTATGGCATCAAACATCTGCTGGACCCCCTGGCCGGTCTTGGCTGATATCTCAAACACCATATCTGAGCCAATGCTCTCGGCAATTTCTTGTGCCAGGCCTGCATCCACTGCCCGTTCCTCACTTTTCAAGTCACACTTGTTTCCCACAAATGCAGGAATCGCGTTGTAATAGAGATGATGTTCGCTATTTAACCACGAATCGCATTTTGTCCAGGAATCACGATCGTCGAAGCTATAGACTAGTAGAATAATCTTCACTCTCCTAAAGACAGTCGCGGGGACACCTTTCCATAACTGACGATAATAAGACTCTGAAGTAAGTGGAAAACATTTCACCATGTTTTACATGCAGTGGATTGTCTTGTGGCCTGAAATATATGGAGAGCTATAATACTTACTGAAACCTGCTAGTCCACTCTTTTGTGTATTCCATGGCGGGGGGAAGGTCCTGAATGGCCTCGGCTTCGAACGAATGCATGCCGTCGCCTCTCATGAATCGCTGGAAGATTGTGGCCTCGCCTACTCCAGGTCCTCCAACTACCATGACTACTGCTACGCTCTCTCGCTCTGAATACATTCTAGCTATCGCCCCCACTCAGATGACGGGATCCTGCGAAAGAAGAATCAACGGCGAGAGATAGACAAGCACGATTCTTCCAGTATCGTCCCTCCGGTGGAATTGTGCCGCGCTTATAGAATCCTACAGAGTCTTTCGAGCCGTTAGTACTTCGCTACCAGCAGTGCCGGCAAACAACTATGTATTTTGTAGCAATGAATATGTTATGAAAGTGAAAACATGTAGCCTATAATTATGCAGAATGGTCATGAGTATGATAACAGATTTACAGAATGGATAATGTTGTGCAGGCATACAATTTTAATGTACTCAGCATCGACATCCACTCTTCTGTATTGTTTGACTGCTCAGGTTTTCCTGGCCACTGGGTGGTGGTTTTGGATCCATCAGCTCTTTCATTCTCACAGCCACACCATCAAACATCTCCTGAAACCCCTTCCCCGTGAGAGCCGATATCTCAAACACCATGTCAAGTCCGATCTCGCGATTCCCAGCGAGCGTGAGCGCCCTCCTTCTGGGAACAAACTCGTCCAACTCTTCCCATCTGTGTTTCAGGTCGCACTTGTTGCCCACCAGGACGGTGAGGGACTTATCGTCGCAGCAAGAGGCGTAGTTGTCGAGCCAGTTGTTGCTGATGGCCTGGAATGAATCGTTGTTGTCCATGCTGTAGACCAGTAGAACCACTTTTGCCCTCCGGTAGTAGGTGGGTGGGATGGTCTGGGTGAAGCGCTCCACTCCAGCTGTGTCAAACAGCGTAATCTATACAATTGATCATTGAGTGGCTTTAGGAATAGTTTTATGTCCGCTAACACAGTCAAAAACTACATAGCTACACACACGTGGAGTTCCGCGAATCTTTGCAAGCTATATAATAGAGACGCGACAGACCGACTCACAGAGACTTCCTCATCTCCGACCTCCCAGACCTTCCGGTGCTCCTGGCCGGCCTTGTCGTGGTGCGTCAGCTCCTCCTCCCGCACAAACAGCCCCGTCTTGAACCGTTGGAATATGGTGGATTTCCCCACACCTGGATTCCCCACTAACACGACCTTGTCCCAGGGAACGTCCGAGTCCAACTCCTCGCACAGGTTCATAGTTTTCGCGGAGGCCTTCAGTCACACCCACAGATTTAGTTATCTGCTCTTCGCATGCATGGATGCAGCTACCCAGTCCTAAATATAGAAATCCCATAGTAGCTACATTGTACTGACTGCCATCAGTTGACCATTGAATATTGTACTGCAGAGAGGTTTTCACTTTTACCCATGCTGTTAGTCGTACAGTAAAATTGTGCACGAGATTGTGCACCACTCCCTACCCTGCACCCATGATGTTTATCGAGACAATTCGCAATGGTTTTTACCAGGCATTAGCATTTTGGTTGTGTTTACGAATTAATATCTGCAGGGTATTTCTCTCACTCTCTTAGCTATGTGGAACTCAATGAGCTAAACAAGGAGGAACTTTGGCATCCATGGGCAGCTGTTTTTTTGCCATCTTTGCTGTTCTGTCAATACCCCAGCACTTGGACAGATACACTCCTCTGCTCCCCAATATAATTATATGTTTACACAGGAAAATTTACACATCATTGCTGCTATAGTGCAAAGTTAGCATTGGTAGGAGGAGTGAGTTTGCTTTTAACCCACGCAAAAGGGGGCATAGTAATCATAATAAAATGGCTAAAAAGGCAACACAACTAAAAAAAATCAGCAGCAACTTGGCTGATTGGGCTTTTCGTCGACCGCAGGCTGTGATTGCACAACTGGGTCTATTGTTTTCACAATGGCATCAAACATTTCTGTCACGCCGTGCCCGGTCTTGGCCGATATCTCAAACACCATACTCCTGTCAATGTCGTTCATTACGGCATACTGCATCGCCCTCTCTCTCGAGATGACGCGTTTTGACTCCCCACCCACCTCTTGCCCGTCCTCCAAGTCCACTTTATTCCCCACCAAAACGACTCGTGCGCTGTTGGCCGAGTTGAGCGAGTTATCCAGCCAGTTTGAGCCGATGTCTCCGAAGGATTCCATGTTGTCTATGCTGTAGACGAGCATGATGGCCTTCGCCCTGCGAAAGTAGGTCGGGAGCATCGTTTGCGTGTGTCTCTCCACCCCAGCCGTGTCATACAGCGTCATCTGGAACGGGACATTCTTATTTTAACGGGGCAGAATGTTTTAGCTAGTTTACCGATCTCTCGACGCCAGAGACGTTCCATTTCTTGGTGTGCTCTGCCTTGTCTCGATGACTGAGCTGATCCTCTGGCGCAAATCGCCCCGTCTTGAAGTACTGGTAGATCGTGGACTTCCCAACGCCGGGGTTTCCGACCAGCACTACTTTGTCAGCTGGAGGTGCACTTTCTCGTCCAGCGGACATGGCAGAGTTGGTGGATGGTGCAGCAGAAGATTAGATGGGGCCGGGCGCGGCAGTCGAATCATATGCGCATGCGCAAATGCCCCTGCAAACATCGGTGTCCGCCGCGCGACGGCCCAGAGATCGAGACAGAAGAAACGATGGAGCAGAAGATCGTGTTTCTATCTGCAGTGCTTGCTACAATTCAAGGTCAGTATGCACCACGCATGCATTATAGGACACAGCTAGCTCATCTGTTCTATAGGTGCTCCTCCAGTTTTGTATGATCTCGATCATGAGCCAGAAGAAACGGGAATCCGGCCACCTTTTACTACTAGAGTAAGGTTGATTTATCTCTTGCTACAAACTCAAGGACAATTTTTAAGTTCTGCTTTCAGAAAACATCGATCTGCTCTTTTTTTAGCTACATCACTGTCTTGCATGTGTGTAGGAATGGGTGTGTTTATCTCTGTGCTGTCCACTGGGGAATGAACAAGAGACCAGCAGTGCCATGTCTGAACTACCTACCAATCTTGAACAATGCTTCACAGACTCGTGTACTGTACGTAGGCCTCCTCAGCTATCACAGAGATTGAACATTACGTTCTTCCATCTTCCAGGATGTATGCAATACTGTTTGCTGTCTCAGTGGTATTGCCACCCCAATCCTCGGAGGAAACTTTGTTTTCGACTCTGTCAACTGCTTGAAACACACCTGCAAGGTCTCAAAAGACACTATATCAATAAAACTGATGTTCATAGATAGGTGCTGTGTAATTGTCTCTCTGGTAGGTGATGGAGAATGGGACTCTGTGGCACGAAGAGCCGATGCCGTGCAAGAAGTGTGACCCCCAATCCTGTCCTGTCAGTATTCCCGGAGAGTGTTGCCCACACTGCAGTGAGTGTAACTGTTCACACGTGCACCTTCATGTTCGAGGCAAGCAGGCGTTTTACATTTCTCCACTGTTTTGCGCCCACTTGTTATGGAAAACAGTGGACAAGCTTTAGCCATACTTTTACGATTGTCACAGTTAGGACGCCCGGAAATTGGAGCGAGTGGAGTGAGTGCAGTGCAACATGCGGGAAGGGCATGCAGACCTCGGTGAGGACGTGCTATGCTGGAGACACCAGACCTACCAGTCACTGCCCTCACCCCACACTTCGTACCCAGATCTGCCACAAACCATGTCCAGGTATTACATGGAACTCTTGGACACTGACATCTCTGTGCAGATAGAGTCTGTAAAGAGCACCTCTGAATGAAATGACACATGGTCCTGCATGCCCCTTGATTTTAAAGTTCCACTGCACATTTTGTGTTTGAAAACAATGCGGTGTTAGCTACATGCTGATCTTTCTGACTGGTTTTCCAACTGGTGTTGATAATATTTAGTGCCGTGTCAGTGGGAGTGGACCAACTACAGCGACTGCTCTGCATCGTGTGGAGGAGGACTCCAAGTAAGACATGTGAACATCACGCAGGAGGCAGAGCATGGGGGGACCCCCTGCCCACACAACATCGAAAACGCCACCCAACGTCGCCAATGCAACACAATTACATGTCCAGGTACTTATACACTCAACATCTCTCCGCAGCATCATTTTTGAAATGGGGTTTGTATTATAGAGTCTTGCGAGTGGATATGGAGTGAGATGAGTGAGTGTTCAGCGTCCTGTGGTGGAGGGACGCAGTACCGCTACCCCATGCTCTCCCGGGCCCCATCCAAAGGGGGAGAACCCTGTCCTCATTACATCGTTACCAACAAGACTGAGAGGTTTCAGTGCAACGTGCACCACTGTCCAGGTGGGTCCATCATTAGCATACCTCCTTTTATTCACTCCATTAGTTGCTCTTGTGTGTAGATATCTTTTGTGGTGTTGCTATAGCGCACAATTTGAGCGGAAAAGATCTGAACCATTATTCTTGATCCCTTGATGCCCAGTTGATTGTCTGTGGAAGTGGAGTGACTTCACTGACTGTACCTGTGAAGATGGACGGAGCCTTAATCGCAGGAGACACCCCATAATTATACAGGCACCCAAGTACGAGGGGACACCCTGTCCAGACTTTGTGGTGACTAATGAAACCGAAGAACTGGAGTGCCGAGATGAGCTCTGCAAGCAAGGTTAGAACCACCACTCGTTTTATTCAGCCTCGGCTGTACTTGATTCTGGTGTGTATGTTCCAGGTAGATCATGCGAGAGTGGGAAGAGTATATGCAACGGAGAGTGCATAATAGACAAAGATAAAGACTGCATTCCAGACAACCAGGTAGCTACATGCAAAAGCATGCGGCAATAGACCATTAAACCTTTGGGGTGAACCGCTCTGGAGAAGAAACTAAACGAATTCCCTGGCCATAACTATTTTCCTGTATAATTATACTGAGTAGTGAAGATTTCATTATACTAACCAGAGTTCGTATGTATACTAACTGTCTCTACAGGACAAATGCCCGAATGACCCATTGCCAGAGAAAGATACAGACGATGATGAAGTTGGGGACTCGTGTGACAACTGTAGCGAGAAAGAGAATCCAGAGCAGATAGACAGCGACTCGGACAGAATCGGAGACGAGTGCGACAACTGCCGCTATGTTTACAATTACGACCAGTCGGACGCGGACGGCGACGGCTGGGGGGACGCGTGCGACACTTGTCCGTACATATACAGTCGCAGCAACTTGGACCAGGACAATGACGGGTGGGGGGACATCTGCGACAACTGCATCTTTTACTCAAATCCGGAGCAGGAAGACCGCGACAATGACTTTCTGGGATACCTGTGCGAGGCTGACAAAGATGGAGATGAAATAGGTATGGGCTGTTGAGACCAACATGTATGAGACATAAGTCTCAATAACTTTTATATGGTCGTGCATGTTGCAACACTCACTAGACGTTGTGAACCTATATTCCTGAAGTTTTTTTGTCTCTCACAAGACAAATTTGTATGTTGTCCTTTACTGTACGTATGAAACTACATTAATTTTAAAAAACATCGGCGTTTCTTACTGGTGTGCCTCTATATCTGCTGCAGTTAACCAATATGACAACTGTCCGTTGCTCTACAATCCGTACCAAGAAGATTCCGAGATGGATGGAATTGGAGATGCATGCCGGAGGACTCTACCTGAGGCAGCACTGTTCTCTGATGTTCCCCTGCAGATCCGCTGAGCAGACCATCAACAGTGCTAGGCTGGAGCCCCCTACATTTATTAAGACCGACTTTGTACGTTTTTTAGGACATATAATGCTATATAGGACACAATAGGTTTGAGAGCTAATAGCACACGTTTTTCGTACACATCACCCACCAGCAAGCAGTAGGCTTTATTTGGGGCTCGTATTATAAGCACACAAAGAAACTCGTACATACTTACCCTTTTGTAGACCATGCAAGATATTATAGTGTTGTTTATATAACATTGTCAAATCAACTCCAGCTCAATCAAAAAATCATGTACAATAAAAACGGACAGGGACAGAAACAATTGGTGGTGTGACTAAGTTGTACAGCATTTCTTTATCGGCCGCCTCCCTCCTCCAACCAATCCCTCCTCCCCATGCCTTCCTCCCTGCGCCGGTGTCTGAAGCAGCGCCGGGCCCATCTTGGCCGCGATTGTATTGAACATGTGCTCCATCCCCTCCCCACTGAGGGCTGAAACCTCAAACACCATATCACTGTCTATGTCAATGTTGCTCGCGTACGTGACGGCACGACTCTTTTGGACTTTTCGCTCGCTCGCCAGGTCAAGTTTGTTGCCGACCAGCACAAATAGCGTCTCGCCGCCCACTCGGGCCGAGATGGCGTTCTCACTCCAGCCGGTGAGGGAGTCAAATGTATCAGAGTCGTCGATGCTGTACACCAGCATGACGACTTTCGACCAGCGAAAGTAGGTGGGTGGTATTGTACTCATGTGGCGCTCGATACCTGCCGTGTCAAACAGAGTCATCTGTGTAGAATGTTAAAGCACATGTTAGACAATTATGTACAGTGTTGACAGTTTGGGAGAATAGATGGTCGTGAGCAATGGAAAGTCACCTTTTGTCCTCCAGATGTGCTGACCTGCTAACACAAATTCACTTTCAAGGTTTCGAATACAGCTGGAGGCCAAGCAAACACAGAGATTCTCTATAGTCAACTATCTAGAGATCAGTGTAAGCAAAGAGAGGTTGCACAAGTTCAGCTGAAAGGCAAAAGCAAACTTTGAATCTGCTATATATGGAGACGCCAGCCTTTTAGCTACCAGTGCATTCTGTTGGTGGAAGGTACACAATAGTGTACTACACTCTCTAGGTTACGGTACAACTTCTGTTTCAGTTTACCAGGTTGTGGTTTTAGCAACTTGTGATTGAAAGGTGGGCAGTGCATAATAATGTACACGGAAAAAGTCCAAACACGAGACACGTATTCTTTTAATACGTACTGCGTGCGTGAACAGGTCTAGCGTGTGCACCGTGCAGAACAAGAACACGTACGACATCCAGGCACACTTACCGACACCTTCCGTGTTCCCAGCGTCCACTCTTTCTGGTGCTCGCCGTCCCTGGGGTTGTGCGACGGCGTCGTCTGGTGGAACTGGCCCGTCTTGAACCGCAGGAACAGACTCGTCTTCCCTACGCCCACGTCTCCTACCAGCACCACTTTGTCGGGGACCGACTCCGTGAGACTGCTCCCCGTCTTTACTGATAACGGAGGCTCCGACACTCCGTCGCTCATCGTACCGGCCTCTCGACGTACAAGACAGAACTATCTCGTCCTCACGACTTCAAACAGAACCTCAACGACCTGTGTGTAACTTGATCTCGTAGAGAACGAAGCCCTGCCCCTTTTATTTGTTTTATGAGCATGCGCAGTTTGGGTTGCCGCCTGCGCATGTATAAATCTGTTACACAACAGAGCAAGCATTAGCTCTAGGATCACTGCACACCCGATAGCCTTGCTCCTGCAGCCCCACAAATGGCGGACTATTGGGCCATCCAGTCTTGTTATAGTACACAGCTCTCAGCTGTCCCAGGCCAGTCACGCTCTTGTCCCATCCGCTGACGTACGGGTCCTCCAAAAAGGAGAAATACTGCCGCATTGCTCTATCGTACATGAGCAGCTCGGCATCAAACTTCTCGGCTGTGGTTGAAAACGGCTCAACGAGATTATGCGTCTCGTTTGCATCAGTCTCCAAGTTGTACAGCTCAATGTGACCAGTCAGTCGCGCAATGTACTTCATAGACGAGTTGACCCTGGCATAACGGGCCTGGCCGTACTCCCCATAGATTGTGCGCCCCTTTCTCGAGTTTCTCTTGGACGGGTCGAGCAGGAGATCCAGAAAGCTCTCTCCGGCTAGGTTAGAGTTTTTCGGGAAGGAAAAGTTGCCGGCATAGGCCAGAAGAGTAGGTGCTACGTCAACTACCTGGACAACGCTTTCTTCCACGCCAGGCTGAACGACTCCGAGGTGTCTCCATATCATGGGAATCCTGAGAGACGTGTCAAACATGTTGAGAGGGTAGGCCGCGTTGCCTTTACCCCAGAGACCGTGGTGGCCGGCGTTGAAGCCGTGGTCGCTGGAAAACACGACCAGAGTGGTTCTGTCGAGATTGTTCATCTTTAGTGTGTCTAGCATCCGACCAATGTTGAGGTCCATTGCAGTGACTGCAGCGTAATACCCCTTTAGACATTCGCGGTTCCCGAGGCACTGTCTAGTGAGCCCTCCGGCCACCCAGCCTCTGTCTGCATACGGACTCATCGGCTCTTGCGGGCAAGAGACAAATGTGGCATTGTCGTACAGTTTTACGATGTCTGGGGGGTGCATGCTACTGGCTTTACCGTCAGAGCCGGTATAGGGACTGTGCGGAGCAGTGTAGTGAACAGAGAGGTAAAACGGCCGCTTTGCACCGCTCTTTGTGTAGTTGTTGAGATACTCTATTGCATCGTCGGTAATGATGTCCGTGACGTAGCCGTCCAAGGTGACACACTTGAGGTTCTGGACCAGGGGAGGGTTGATGTAGTCTCCTCCGCCTCTCTGGTGGACGAACCAATGTGTGAATGAATGCTGTGGCACGGGCTGGTCTCCAAGATGGTACTTTCCGCTGATACCACAAGTGTAGTTGTTTCTGGTCAGTACGTCCGTGTACGCCGTCTCGTAGCGAGTGTAAAAGATGCCCTCATCTGTACATCCGTTCCCGCCAGCTATCCAGTCGTGTACGTTGTGCTGGCTGGGCAGACGGCCAGTAAAGTAGGAGGTTCTACTGGCAGAACACACCGGGGTGTTGCAGAAGGCCTGGTTGAACTTGAGCCCTTCCTCGGCCAGCTTGTCAATGTTGGGAGTGTAGATCTCTGGGTTGCCATACGTTCTATATACAAATGGGAATAGAGAAAAATTGTTCTGCGTGTGTATAGCTAGTCAACCCAATTTGCAAATCAGGAAAGCCCGTGAGTCAGGAGCTAACCTCGCTGCCCAAAGGCCCATATCGTCTGCCAGTATGAACAGCACGTTGGGCGGTGCACACACGCCACCTCGCGCCAGCAGCAGACCCAAAACGATCAGTGGTTGCAATAGCATCACTCCACGATGACTCCTGGGCTGTCCTCGCGAGCGATGAATTTTGGGAGAAAATGCCACGTGTGCACTTTTACAGCCCCACCCCTTTTAACTACTGCATGCAGAGTCGCTTGCTCTCACAGCGTGTTACTATAATGAACACTAAATCGGTACAGATTTTCTAGGACTGAATGTGGGTTCCATGTTAGTTCTGACGTAGTGATGCCTGATCCAGAACAGTATGACAGCCAGTAAGACTGGAGCCACGAACGCCAGGAGTCTGAGGAAGAGGGAGAAGGAGGGAGAGGGGAGCCAATCTAGCCAACAACGAGGAGGGGCAGGCGAGACAATCCCCCTCGCCAGGAGATGATCAGCGTGCTGGTTCTGAGTGTGTCTTGAGAACTGTTTATAGGTAGATATCAGGGAGCTGCAGGAACAAAAAACGAATGCAGTTTACAGTCCAAAAAACTCAGAACTCAAATTTTGGGGGTTAGTAAACTACCAAACTGAGTGGGGAGTACTATTTTACAGCGCTATACAAGCATTTTCTCTCAACATAGCGGTAGAATTCAGACCTAGTCCCGAGTTTCAGGCCCTCGTTCCTGGCCAGTCTCTGAGGAGGGTGTTTCTCGAAGAGCTGCTGGGCCATCACGATGACCTGCTCGTAGCTGAGTCTCTCTGGGATCTTGGAGAGGAGTCCGTGGACCGACGCCATCTCGCAGTCCACCGCCAACACCTCCGACTCTCGACTCAGGATAATCTGGGGAACAGATGTTCCACACACACACACGCACACAAGTCTTTAACGTGTGGATCCTTTCCTCAGGTTTGTATATGAAAGGGAGTAAAAGTAACCAGAAGCTTTATTTATACTCACACTGAAGAAATTTCTACAATGTATATAGACGTTTCTCCGACCGAGGTATTAATATAACATACTCAAACTTACTGAACCATTATCATTAAAACATACCATAGCCAAAAAAACTCTTGAAGGAACCTATTTCATATAATTATACTCTCCACATAATTTGTGAGTGTGGACGAGTTTTGCAACGGAGCTTAAGCACTGAAAATTCTCTCTGTAAATTTAATACCTAATCGAGAAAAAGTTTGAAGTGTGTTTGTGTGGTTGTGTGTGTGTGTGTGTGAGCGTTCTCTCTCACGGCTCCAGAGAGGTAGACGGGCATGAGAGGGTGGGAGGCCAGGAGGAAGTCGACCAGTCTGCAGGCCTCGTCCAGTCTCCTCACCACGTGGCCAAACCAGGTGATGAGCCAGCTGAGGCAGAAGTAGTAGGCACACTCTGATCTGACGACAGGCAGAGGAAGAGAGTCGAGTGAAGCTACGTAGAGCACTTTGTCGCTATTTACAGTGTGTAGATTTAACAGAAACAGCCTGAGCAAGTACGGTTGCAAAGTACATGCAATAATATTTCAAAACGCAGAGATTTATTATGGGTCACTGTACAAAAGTTTCACTTCTAAAAAGGGAAGCCTTGTGGAGGAATAATTATTTGCAGATCGCTAAAACTATCCACAAATGCTGTAATGATCAACTTTCACAGAGGGTTTTCTAAGTTTCCCAGAATCATTAAGTTTCTGATGTAAGTGAGGCACCAAAGGACTGTGTGTACTACTGACTTGTGGATGAAGCGCTCCAGTGTACGACTCTCCAGTCTGAGGAGAGGTCTGAGGTAGCAGATGATCACCTTGGTACGGTCCATGTCCGCATCCATGAAATCCCTGCAGAACAAACGCCACGGTTTTCATGTGGTGGAGCAAATTGCCCCACACGGTTTTGCCTCTCCCTTAAAAAAAGCTTCAATTTCAATGCTTCAATCACTGATTCAGATCAAGTCGTTAAAATAAAACCCCACTCACACTAAGCCTCGATCACTTTTGAGGGCAACTCATGTTCCACTTAAAATTTATGATAAATTGAGCAACCCCCTCAGTGACTGGTTACTAATTACATAGAACATGTGTGCGAAACAGGGCAACACACAAAGCTGCTTATTCGGCAGTAAACCCAAGTTCGGTCCATTAGCAATAAAAGCTCAAACAACCAAACAGGCACGACTGGTGATGTTTTACACGCGACCGACGTACTGTATATACCTGATGTGGTGTTGAACGAGAACATTGACAATGGCGTAGGCAAAGTCCTCCCCGCCCACCAGCAGGAATGTGATAACGATGTCATGGAATCCCTGGTAGTAGTGCAGGTCGGGGTGCTCTGAGAGAAGTCGCAGAATGACCCTCAGTAGCTTCTCCTGCAACTCTTGTCTCCTTGTCTCTGAATAGTCTACACCACATGTATACAGGTATAGCTATAGAGAAAGCGTGGTATATATAAGGAGCTTCCTCACGTTCAGGTATGCGCCTGGAACACCGTCTCACGTCGAGCAGGACCTGCGCCCTGTCCTTGTGCTCGGTGAGAGGCGCTCCCTCGTAGGGTTTGATGTGGTACATGTTGACTCCGACCAACTTGGGCCAGACTCTCCGTCGAATGTCCGAGTGGAAGAGGCCACCCATGGACACGGCGTGTCTCCGCAGGGCCTCCACGTCCACCAGGGAACTCCGCAGAGCCTCGTCGATCTGCAGCTCCTTCTCCCGCTGCCAGTGGAGCCCTGGACGAGACGAGAGAGATGCGAGAAAGCAGTGAGGGGAGGGCGCGAGGGAGGAGTGCGATGGGAGGCCTACTGCGGCGGGCGCGGAGCTCCACTCGATTCAGGCTGCTCATCCCTGTTCTTCGCTCCAGACTTCACCCTGTCTGTCGTCTCTGGCTCTCCAGATCAATTGCTAGTGGTCTTCGCTCTTCGCTGCATGCTCGCGAGTGCTAATTTTCTCGGTGTAGACGTATAATTAGGGTATATACAAGCAGTTATCACCATGGTGACCGAGATATAAATTACGTCATTGTAGCGCGACCATGACCACGCCCCCACGCGGCCGCGATCAGGACGCCGTTTCTCCATGGAAGCGACTCTTCAGGGGACGCTCAGACGGCTCGCGGAAGGTTTTCTGGTGCGTATCGAGTTGCATCTTACACATTCTGTGCCCGTGTTGGCTGTTGTTAGCGAAGAAAGTGCTTCCATTTTCATTTGTCTCACCGGGGTGCGCGGTCCTGAACAGTTTTCCCGCGAAAGGCAGCGTGTTGCTGTTGCAAGCATTTGGGTATGCTCGTATGCACTCTTCACAAAACGCATGTATGGCGCTCTTTTTTCTATTTGCCCGCCCCCACAGCTAATTTTCTCGATTGCATCGAGGCATGTCTTCATCCTCGGAGGAGGAGAGGAAGATGGAGGAGGGGAGGGTGGAAGGTGGGGAAGAGGGAGAGGTGAAAGAGGTCTACTATCCTCGTCGTAACGGCTGGACATGTCCGTGGCATCCTCTCCAGGTCCTTGCCTGGGGATTCATCGCCTTTTTCGCCGCCACTTACTTCGGGTTTCTTGTTCACTACATCCCTGGTGCCTGGAGGAGCATTGGCTATATTGTATCCCTCTCTCTGTTCTCTTTCCTTATTCTGCAGAGGCCCCCCTAAGTACGTACAATGCTTCACTGTTGTTGCACAAATATGGAAGACCCTTATGTTAGCATCTGCGTTTGCGATTGTACGTGATTCCCTTCAGCTATAAAATTGAGGGCTATACCCTGCAGGGCTTCCTCTAACATCCCATAATTGTAGATTTTGAATGAACCCTCCTTCCCTAATCTCAATCATGTGTGAAATCATGTGCCAGGGCAGCTCTTCTTCTTTTCTTTGAAGAAAGAGCTGTCCTGGATGTGTAGTTGACTTGTTGGTCTTGCCTTGCCTTTCTACCGCGCTTACCAAGTTGTATGACTGTAGCTATTAAGAGAGAGAGAGAGAGAGAGTTTTGTCCTCCTTGACTGTGTCTGTCTAGCTAGGAGGAGGATTTTTCGTGACCCACATTGTCTCCAGTCTGGTCGCCTCTGTCATCGACCCGGCCGAGTCCTCCGTGAGGCGGAGGAGAGCCGGCAGAACTGGCGGGGGTTCTTGAGAGCCGTCTTTGACAGAAAAAAGCACTCCCACGTCATTGAGGACAGATTCTGTAACCTGTGCAACATCAGTGTGTGAGTTCCTGTATACGATGCTAAGCTCTGTAATACTAAGTTTAAAGGAAACACCTTCCACGTGTATCTTTACCCACTCTTGCAAAGAAACTCTCATCGATGGCTCTATATTATGCCTACTATGCACTTTACTACCCTCCCACAGGAGGTATAATAATATGCAAAACGCACCTCTTAGTGCTGTAAAAACGAATTTGAATAGAAAACCAAGGGGCATTCTCAACATGAATGTAATATTAAGTGGCAATATATCTAGTAGTGGAGACTATTGCTATTGTTGTGCTCTGGGTGTTGTGTGCAGGACGGCAGGCGCCAAGCACTGCAGCGTGTGTGACAAGTGTGTGGAGGGGTTCGATCACCACTGCATCTGGCTCAACACCTGCGTCGGATCCAGAAACTATCGGTGAGGAAAGGCTGAAAGATTGGAATGTACAAACATAGAAATGGGCCCCAGTGAAGAATGAAATGAGTTTCCGCTTTCAGTAACAGTTTAGCCTATACTGCCACATTCCTTTTAACACACAAAATACTTGCAAACTTTAAAACATTCATTCTAGTATCATTCTTTGACGCATTGTATTCTCCCTCCATCTCTCCCCTCCCCCTCCTCCCTCTCTCCCTCATCTCACAGCTGGTTCCTGGTGACAGTCTTCTCTGCGCTACTTGCCTGCATACTCCTCCTGCTGTTCACCGTCAGTCTGTTCATCACCTTCTTTGCGGGCAGGGACCGACTCCGCTACAACTGCAAGGATCACTTTGTTTCGACCAACACCTCCTGCAGCCAAGACATCGGGTTCTTCGGTGCGACTGTCCCTGATGCTGTGTTTCCCACTGTGGTCGCCGTTGTTGGACTACTGGCTCTTGTTGGGGTGGTCATGATTGGCTACCTGGCCGGATTCCACGTTTACCTCAGTGAGATAATTGGGATTACGTAATGCTGCATAGACGACCTATTATAGTAGTTGTGACAATCATTGTGTGCTGCCAGCCTGGCTCTTATCATCTGACAATTAGTGCATACACTATGAGTATGACGTAATGCTGAGCAATTGATGACTTAGTTTCTGTATATCGATTCATTAGCTACACACACAAGCAAACATGATTGACACTTTACTTGATATGGTATTATGGGCAAATTTGATCACAAATGGTTAACATCGTTGCTCCTCAGATGTGAGAGGTCTGACTACGTATGACTATGTCTTGATGCTGCGTCGTCTCGAGAAGGAGAAGGAGGAGGCTAGGGCCAGAGAGGACCAGGAGCCCGCCAGCAGCAAGGTGGAGGAGGACGAGAAGGAAGAGGAAAATGGAGATGAGACTCACCACGGTCGCTGCTGGTTCCTCAGACGAAAGGTCAGAAGCAATTTATTCGAATTACGTTCACGTGTGTCATCAAGTACTACCGTATTCAGTGATAAGTGCATGAATTCGAAGGAAGGAGCGAAACTGAACCTCTGAAAAACGACACTATGATTGAAGTACAGCTCTCTATAGAGGGGCACTTGATTCTGCCCCATACTAATACATTGCATTATCGGAACAAGAGGCACCTCTGAATAAAGGACACTTTTGACGCCCCGAAGGTGTCCCAGTTTTAAGTCATATGCGATTTAGAATAATACCACCCGTGTCCTTACAGCTGTAAAACAAAACCACTCGTAAAAGTCCAGTGCTCAATACAGTATATTAATTTACTCTGATATCTGATCACCAACAGGTGAACCGTGTGACTCCGAGTGGCGATAGAAACGTAGAGAAAGGTCAGGGTTCACCTGCAGGGGGTGTGGTCACCGCATCTCCCTCCGTCGATTCTGTGGGTCTCTTCAACTTTGGCAGAACTCCAGCTCAGGTTAGCTCCTGTCATTATTACAGACCACCACTCCACTGCCGTATATGACAGTCACGAGAAGCTCTTTGTAAAGAGCTTTCTGGCACTGTAATATTTACTGTAATGGGACAGCGTATTACACAGTCCCTTCTAGCAGTGTAACGCTCCTCTACTTCCAATGCTAACAACGCGTGTGCTTGGAGAGCGTATTACACTACAGCAGTGCATTACGTGACGCGTGTTATATTAATTTCTCCTCTCTCTTCCACACAGTCTGTTGTGAGTAGCTCCGTGGGAGACGTGTCTATAGATCCCGTGGACTCTACTGCCGGAGCACTGAGAGGTGGTGGTCACTGGATGTACCGCGAGGAGCAGGATTCGTCGCAGAGGGACAAGAGCTGTCGACACGAGGTCGTGGTGGAAATGGAGGCTCTGCCGGTGCCACCCGGAGGTGTGGTTTCCCCGGGTCGATCAGCTGTCGACAGAGATGTGGCAAAATTTGGATCTGGACAGGGAAATTCGGGAGTCAAACACGTCGAGAGAGTGTGCGAGGAGAAGTGGGACTTTGAAAATTGCGGCATTCTCGCTTTCATGAGCTCGGCCAACAGCATCGCAAGTGGCGAGGAAAAAGAGCAGGCCACCAAAGATGAAGATGATGATGTCGAAAACTGTGGAACTCTGGCGTTTATGACCTCGGCCAACAGTGTTGTGTCTAGTGGTGTCCCTACTGGAGTACAGATAACGGGAGGAGACGGGGGTGAGCGTTCGGTCATCGTTTGCGGCAATGATTCGCCGGCCGTTCCAGATACCACTCCCAGAACTGGTCCTACTGGAACTGTATTGGTCTACGCCACAAGCAATGAAGGTGACAATGTTCGTGTGGATGGCGGAGTCGAGCCGTCCATGAGCACCGAAAACACTGACCTGCGGGAGAGGGGCTACGAGATGATGATCAAGTCGGGGAACACTGTGGGAATCAGGGCCCTGAAGCAGCTGTCTTCTTTTGCTCACCAACGCTCCTCTGCTCCGGAAAATAAGACCGAGGACACCCCTACTCCCATTTTTCACCGTTTCTCTTACCCTCTGGGTCACCAGTCTCACTTGGTGCAGCAACTTCGTCCGGCGCGTCACGCCGTCTGGGACTATTTGCCTCCTCTGGTCAAGAGGTCTCTGGTGGGACAGCAGGCCTGTCTGCCGCAGACTCTCCCAGACAACAGCGGACATGATTCACTCACTTCTCTGGCCTCGGCTCCGACACTGGTCTGACTGACGGACAGAATATTGTCACTTTTTTCAGGAACTTTCTCTCCGGAACTTTTTTCAACTCATGATCAGGTATTACATGGCAGTGTCTGTATAATAAAAGTTTTATAAATCAGCAGAATAACACTGTCACTCTGTTCTCTGCTTGTTCTACGCCCGCCCCCCCCACACCTGACTGATTGCGCATGCGCAGTTGACCCGTAGGCTAAATATTTTCGGGAGCTTCACGCATTGTAGTGCCAGAAACTCAGCGAGAGTATTACCGCAGTATAGCTCTGAGTAGTAGGGAATTACCGACCGACTGCTTGTCACTACCAACCACTCATGGCAGCTTCTCCGGCAACGTCGTATCATGACCCACAGCAGATATGCGACTACGTCCTCCTGCGTCACGCAGACGTCGCGAAGGATGCAGTGAGCGAGAGGATATACAAGGTGCAGTGTTGTGGCCGACTGTTTAGCCGACAATGTAGCTAGTCTAAGGTTTTATTGTTGTGTGCATTGTACCATATTCCGCGATACATGCTGCAATCTAGCACTCTAGCTGCAATTCACCAATGCAAGATAGCTATGATCTATGTAGTTAGGCGTTTTTGTCTGCACTTTTAGGTCGTGTGCAAGTCGGCTTTGAAGCGCGTGTAGCTAGACTGTTTGTAGATGTTTGTTCTGTAAGTAGAAGCCCATTATTCGCGGTCTCTGGCGGCTCGAAATCCCTGCTCACCGCGGTAATCCTACCTGCCGCTGCAAGCTCTTTTTCGTTTGATCTCTGTGGCACGTCAATTTGTGGCCAGCCACTAAATCATGTCCGGCAATCTGCCGTCCGTGGACCACAGCTGATATGCTCATGCAAAATTTCATATCTGCCCGCTGGCTTCTTAGACTAATCACAGCAAAATATACTTATCTGCCCCTTCCTTCCTATATATTATATATACCCCTCCTCCCTCTTCCTCCCTCTATTGTCACTGATGCAGAAGTGGACAAGGCTCTGGGTGGTAGCTCATTGCCAGGTGTCACCGTTGGACAGTTTCTTGAGCCACTGCAAGAAGGAGAGCCAGTGGCTAAAAAACGATCGCTCCGTCTCCAAATACGATCTCAGCAATGTCACCGTCTCCCTGACTTCGACGAGGAAACACGACAAAGTCATCAGAATCGTGCTTCCGTCGTTCACAATCGAGCTGGCGTTTGACTCGCAGACAAAGATGGACCTCTATTTCAAGCTACTCTCCAAAGTGTCCGGTAAGTGTGGGCAAAATCCCTATTGAGGTGCTCCCAAATATTTTCCTTGTTTTCCCCTCTCCCTAACTATATATTACAGCCCCTTTGCCACAACGACAGTCAAGTAATTTAGGGCTATAGTTCAATCCAGCTATGTATTGTATTGCACCGGTTTCCCTGTTGTCATTTTACGTATGTGGTGTGCCTTGCACCCTAATACAAACAACTACCCGCAAGTAATTCAAACCACGATGCCCACAAGCAGTGTCTATTTGAAGGTGAAAGTCAGTCCATGTGACCAGGTAGCGTTTGTACTGGAGGGCTATCTAGGAAATTGAAACGTTGGCTCATTAGTTAACATCCCAGTTTCCTGGTATTTGATGGGCAATCCTGGCCATTAGTGGGAAAATATTTTCCTTGTTTTCCCCTCTCCCTAACTATATATTACAGCCCTTTGCCACAACGACAGTCAAGTAATTTAGGGCTATAGTTCAATCCAGCTATGTATTGTATTGCACCGGTTTCCCTGTTGTCATTTTACGTATGTGGTGTGCCTTGCACCCTAATACAAACAACTACCCGCAAGTAATTCGAACCACGATGCCCACAAGCAGTGTCTATTTGAAGGTGAAAGTCAGTCCATGTGACCAGGTAGCGTTTGTACTGGAGGGCTATGGAGGAAATTGAAACGTTGGTTCATTAGTTAACATCCCAGTTTCCTGGTATTTGATGGGCAATCCTGGCCATTAGTGGGAAAATTTTTATAGGTCCGACATTAAAAAACCATATCCTGTCTCTTCCACATAGTATGTCGCCGCGTGAGACAGGGACACATTGTCGCATTAGTATGTTGCCGCGTGAGACAGGGACACATTGTCGCATTAGTATGTTGCCGCGTGAGACAGGGACACATTGTCGCATTAGCTGACTGAGCATACCGATGTACGTGACTAGGGGCCCATTGTGAGCACTTTTGCCATAGTACAGTAGTGTAGCTAACCTGACAGTGTAATGGCTCTGGAAGTGAGCCATTGTTCCCTCTCTGGTTTGCTTTTGCTGGCCGAAGAGTGAGATGTTATTCCACACACATAATAATATGTACACGACAGATAGTTCTTATTATGTAGCTCGCTTTGTTGTCGAGTTACTTGTTAATAGCTACGCCAGGACACACTGTCAAAGATATATGATGAGGCCACTATTAATAGCTACGCCAGGACACACTGTCAAAGATACGATGAGGCCACTATTAATAGCTACGCCAGGACACACTGTCAAAGATACGATGAGGCCACTATTAATAGCTACGCCAGGACACACTGTCAAAGATACGATGAGGCCCACTATTAATAGCTACGCCAGGACACACTGTCAAAGTAATATGATGAGCCACTATTAATAGCTACGCCAGGACACACTGTCAAAGATATATGATGAGGCCACTATTAATAGCTACGCCAGGACACACTGTCAAAGATACGATGAGCCACTATTAATAGCTACGCCAGGACACACTGTCAAAGATACGATGAGGCCACTATTAATAGCTACGCCAGGACACACTGTCAAAGATACGATGAGGCCACTATTAATAGCTACGCCAGGACACACTGTCAAAGATACGATGAGGCCACTATTAATAGCTACGCCAGGACACACTGTCAAAGATACGATGAGGCCACTATTAATAGCTACGCCAGGACACACTGTCAAAGATACGATGAGGCCACTATTAATAGCTACACCAGGACACACTGTCAAAGATACAATGAGGCCACTATTAATAGCTACGCCAGGACACACTGTCAAAGATATGATGAGGCCACTACGCCAGGACACACTGTCAAAGATATGATGAGGCCACTATTAATAGCTACGCCAGGACACACTGTCAAAGATATGATGAGGCCACTAAAAGCTCAGTCTATAGCTCTCCAGTGTAGTCCAGTTTCTCAATGTAGATTTTTCTTTCCTGGAGAGCCACTTTAACGGGGGGGTCGGCTTTGCTTTCACAATTGATCTAACTGCAAGCATATGTGTATACCTTGTCCGTATTGACTGCCCTGGCCACTGTATTATAGACATAGGTGTGCATACTTTCACTGTTTGAGGCCTTCGGTGATATTACCGGTGCAAACATGGTCATCATAAATCTCCCCTTAGCTTTTATCTGACCCCTTAACTTCTGCTGATCTCTCTGGTATTTTTATGCTAGGACAACCGTCGCCATTTCGTTCACAAAACTTCACAAATGTAAAAACCCATTAATATACAGCAGAAAGGGCAATGCTTTTTCTGCAAAGCTGTCAATTGCCAGCTAGCTGCATGATATTATCGGTACCTGAACATTGCGACAAGTCTCGATAAGCCTTTGAAGCCGGACCTTGATACAAATGTATGGCTGAGATGAGCATTCTTCCCGAGATGAAGATCAGATTAGAGCCAGGGATTATTGGTTCGGTTCGCTGGCCGCTTCCAAAGTCTTCGGACGTGATGACCCTAAATATAGCGAAATCCTCCATACCTGCCCCAGTTTACTGACAGTGATTTGCCAAGTATGCGATTTGGACACGCAATAATTATTAATCCTTATCACCCACGCAGTACGGCCATGCAGTTAACCCCCTGGCTCCAGCTGAGACTAATCCTTCTATAGACCCACGCCTTTAACCCCCGTAGACCACCAACCTGTCTCAAAAAAACAACATATTATATAACCCTTTAACGGTCGACCCTTCCAAAACTGGATACTCGTATGTGTCCGCTTCTCACCACAGACAACTGAAAGAATTCCCAAAGGCATTCCTTGCTTGCCTAATGAGACACAATGCCCCCCCTTTACATGTTGTACTGTCAATACCATTCAATCAATGCCATATTAACTTCACGTATAGCATAATAGCGTACAGTATAAGATATGATATGGGACTCCTATACAAGTATATAGTCAGATTAGCTGCGGGGAATCTAACCGTCATGCCAGCTGGAATCGGCCCGGCGTTGGCCTAATTCGTCCTGCCCACGCAAGTCGTGTTGATCACGGTGCCAAGGCATCTTGGTGTGTACACACAGCCCGTCCAGAGGAGACTGGCAAGGCTTGTGCTTATCCCTGAGAGTTATTCCGTGTTTACTACTCAATGCTACGTAGCTGTATCTAATAAGAGAACACCATTCCTGGGATCTGATGAGCGTTGATTCGGGTACTTTAGCCCGGCAGTCGGTTCATCCCGCCAGTTCTACGGGACTTTGGGGCATCCAAGGGAAGGAGAAAAACTTAGTGTTTCTACAACAGTCGAGGGTCTGTAACACAGCTCTAAAGATCGTAGACAGCTTTTAAAGGGAGAAGAGGTCGTCTGTGGTGTGGTCAGAGGTTTGTAGGAGTGTTGAGTTAGTTCTCATTAGGATTGAGGCTCACTGGGAGGTGGGTTGGAGCTAGGCCAGCGAGGCAAAGATGGCTGAATGAATTCTCACCTCCTCGTTAGCAGCCTGCGGGCACTTTAAAGTTTTTTTGAATATCAAAGACACACTGTTGTGGCGGTCCTCTTGTATAGCTATTGCATCAGTGAATATGCTTCACTTAGTATGTAATTTGTATGTGCATACATTTTTCTGTCTTATGTCATGTATTGGGGGTTTAGTGAAAATATAAGAGAGGTGCCAGTGTTATGGAAAACACTCCATTTAAGCGGTACAGTTTTTGTGTAAGTAGTGAAATGGTGTGCATAATACACACTGTTCTTTATGGTATAGCCGTATTGACTTATTGTTTGGCATTCTGCTGCCTCTGCAGTACTTGTGTGTGCATGTGTGTAGTTTGATCACAGACACAATCTATTACACTTAATGGTTCAGTTACGCCTGCTACCCTACGCATAATTTGTACCACGTAGTCATGAATTTGAACTGTTCCGCTTGGAGTGGTATGGGAGTTGAGATACTGAAGGAGCCCTTGGATTTGATTGGTTGGTTGCTCTCGTGTACGTACGTAGCTACTGTTGCATTGGCTTTTGCTTTGCTTTGTAGCAGTGTTTGCTAGCACAGAAACATGCTGGTTTGAGGATGATACATATGTTTCGAACTGTGGCCCAATTTTGAAGCTAATTGCTACCGAGTTGGTGGGCCGTGTTAAAAGCATCAGTAAATGTGGTTCATGAGGCAGTCAGCCACAATTCAGCCCTAACTAAAGACCAGTCGATGGCACGCATAATAGACCAGTCGGTGAGTGACAATTCCTCTAGCATTGGTACATCAATATGTGAGTGGACTTGGTGGTGCCAACAATAGACGCATCCAAAGAGTACATCGCTTGGCGTGCTAGGAAGGGGGACAGGAATTCCGGTTCATTTCAGTTGAAGCTCAGCTGTAGCTATAAGGCGCGATAGTCCAAATGTTAAACAGTCTCAGTCTCAAATTGCGCTTGGAAAACTGCAGGGTGTCACTCACTGGGAGTGTTGGTTGTATTGGTCTGAATGGTTAGACAGACACCAGCAAATCTTCGTGCACGGGAAAGAGATGGAGGGTATACAGTCACGTGTGATGCTGGTAGCGCCACGCACAGTAATAAACATCTTCGCGAGGGTCCTAGTTGGCTAGTGTAGGCCCGGCATGTTTACATATATACATATGTGTGGGTATACAATTGTGCATGTGTAAACGACAACAGGTACGTGAATAAACAAGTGATATTCCGTAATACAGCGCAACGCTAAGTGCATTAGCACGAGGCAAGCGATTCTTGCCACACGCTTACGTATGTGTATGTGTCGGTCATGCTTAGCAATGTCAATTAGTCACTTCAGACATGCAATTAGTAACACGTAGGAATTTCTCTGGAAGGACGGCAAAACCACAGAGGGAGGAGAACAGGGACTGAAGAAAATGTCCGTGTGCATTGTTTTTTTCTTGAACCATTTCCCGCATGACAAATTTTACTTTAGCAAAAAGGTTCTGAAGCTCTTTTGCTTGTACGTAGAATATGCTTTGTCGGTGACAGGTACGTGTGCCAGCAATAAAAAAACTCA